CTTTTTTTGCTTCACAGACTCTCTCTCCAGGAAAAGAAGGAACATTTTTCACAATTCTAGCCCCTTTCAAGAATGACCTCCTTGGCTCAAAGAGGATCTTGCAGTTATTAGCAGCAAAAAATGAATTATCCTAAAGCAAACTCTTTTCTTTTTTAAGAAAAGATTTCATTTTGTGGGGGAAAACCTAATCTCAAGTCCTAGAACATGGAAGGTTAACGACCAACTTGCTTTAAGGAGAGAAATATGACGAGCAAAATTGCCAAGTCTGCCGAAGTACTAATCAAGCATATTGTTCCCTTGATTCTAGAAAATTGCAACGTGCTTTTAAAAAGGTTGAAAAGATGTTCATGGTGTACTCTTGGTTTACTTTGTCTGTAAATGTGTGTTCCTGTGTCCTGTAGTGTTGGTGGTTCCAGGGCCAATGAGGAGGTGGTGAAGACCATGGCTGCTTGTGGTGTTCTGGTGTTCCCCTGGCAGAGAGCTCCTTGTCAATCCAAATGACAGACGGTTCCCTCTGCTGGCTGAACTGAAATTCAGCCCTCCACACTGAGACAGTCTGGGAGGAATCACGAATGGTCTCACTGATTATTAAAACACAGTTTTGAGTTTCATCTTTAAAAAACTAATCTCGACCAGCCCGACCAACATGGTGAAACCCCGTCTCTACTAAAAATACAAAATTAGCCGGGCGTGGTGGTGCGTGCCTATAATCCCAGCTACTTGGGAGGCTGAGGCAGGAGAATCACTTGAAACTGGGAGGCAGAGATTGCAGTGAGCCGAGATTGTGCCATTGCACTGCAGCCTGGGCAACAAGAGCAAAACTCCGTCTCAAAAAAAATAAAAATAAAAAACAAACAAACAAACAAAAAACTAACCTCATCTATCCCCATGTATGATTAGCTTAAGTGCAGTCCAGAACTGGTAACTCCCTTCCTTCCTTCCTTCCCTCCCTCCCTCCCTCCCTCCCTCCCTCCCTCCCTCCCTCTGTCCCTCCCTCCTTCCTTCCTTCCTTCCTTCCAAATCATTTTCACCAATAATGTCCTGTCCTTCCCTCCACCCTCCACTTTCTTTGCTGCCTCTAACCCCTGCCCAAAATTCCTTACCATAATGGGATGTATTTGACTAGTCCATTGTTTATACTTTTACATACATATATGTGAATCCACAGCAGCAGTACCCAACTTTTTGGCACCAGGGACTGGTTTTGTGGAAGACAATTTTTCCATGGATGGGGAGTGGGGGATATGGTTTCGGGATGAAACGGTTCCACCTCAGATCGTCGAGCGTTAGGGTCTCATCATAAGAAGCAGGCAGCCTAGATCCCTGGATCCTCGCATGCACAGTTCACCATAGGGTTTCTGCTCTTATGAGAACCTAATGTCCCTGCTGACCTGACAGGAGGCGGCGCTCAGGCAGTAGTGCTTGCTTGCCCTCCACTCACCTCCTGCTGTGTGGCCCGGTTCCTAACAGGCCACAGACTGGTACTGGTCTGCTGCCTGGGGGTTGGGGACCCTGATCTACAATGAATACATACTATTGTGTTTGTATGTTTAACATTTTCCTTTGTGTTGCTTTTCTGCCCATGACATTTATGAAACATCCACACTGATGCCTATAAAACCAATCTATGCTTTTTAACAGCCATAGGTCCTTTAATCATATAAATGTAGCATATTTTATTTACCCATTTGCCTTTAAGGGTGACTTTTAGGTCATTTCCAAGTTTCGTTAGACTGAAAAAGGTGCTGCAATAATTATTTTAGTACATATCTCCTTATATGTGTGTTTCTTAGCCCTGGTATAACCCCCAAGAAGAGTCACTATGCCATGGCATATGTGTAATGTCACTTTTGATAATATAGTAAAATTGCTCAATAGAATAACATACCAATTCATGATTCTGCTGGAAGTAAACTAGAATAATATGCTATTTTTTCTCATATCTTGGACAACACTGAATTGTGTCAGTCTTTTTCATATTAACTAGTCTGACAGAAATAAAGTAGAATCCCATTATTTTCATTTGCATTTTCCTCATGTTTAGTTAGAGTATTAGTCGGTTTTCATGCTGCTGATAAAGACATACTGGAGACTGGGCATTTACAACAGAAAGAAGTTTAATGGACTCACAGTTCCACATAGCTGAGGAGGCCTCACAATCATGGCGGAAGGCAAGGAGGAGCAAGTCACATCTTACATGGATGGCAGCAGGCAGATAGAGAGCTTGTGCAGAGAGACTTCCGTTTTTAAAACCATCAGGTCTCTTGAGACTTATTCACTCTCATGAGAACAGCATGGAAAAGACCCATACCCATGATTCAATTATGTCCCACCAGGTTCCTTCCATGACACATGGGAATTATGGGAATTACAATACAAGGTGAGATTTGGGTGGGGACATAGCTAAACCATATCAGTGAGGTTAAGCTGCTTTTCTTATGTCTATGGTCCATTGTTTCTTCTTTTAATCACTATTAAAAAAAATATTTATTTATCTTTTTCTCTTTGTTGATTTTAGGCGTTCCTTATGTATTCTGCTTATTCCCTGTTAAATATGTTGCTAATATCTTTGGCTAGTCTGGCATTTGAGAAGATAATTTATTCAGATGATCAGTACAGTTAAATTGTTATGGTTTCTAAATTAATTCTATGTACTATCAAGAAGTCAGGCATATTTCTATCTGCAATCTATTGAAAATCCTTTTGGATCTGCTTTCAAAATATTTTGCAAAGGACTGATCAGTTTTCACTATCCTGCGTGCTACCTGGCTAGCACCTTTATTCACCAGGATAACTGCAGGAGCCTCCTAAGTGGCCTTGTTCTTCAGTTTATTCTTTCCAAACAGCCAGAGAGAGCTTATTAAAATGTAAGTCAGATCTTGGTTCACTTCTGCTCAGAACTAGGCAATGGCTTCCCACCTTGCTCCAAGTAAAAGCCTAAGTTCTTAGAGTGGCCCATAAGGTCCAGCACCCTCCAGCTCCTTGTCATCACTCTGACCTGGTTTCCTGCCACTCTCCCCTGGCTATTCCAGCCACACTGGCCTCCCTGCTGTTCTAACATACAAACATGCACCTGCCTGGGATGTTTGTACTTTCTGTTCCCTCTGCCTAGAATTTCTTCATCCAGAGCCATCATCATGGCTGTCTCCTGCACCTCAAATCTTCCCTGAAACATTACCTTTTCAGTGAGATCTTTCCTGATCTCCTTGCTCAAAAATGAAACAATCTCCCCAAACACACTGTATTGATTTCCTAGGGTGGCAGTAATTAAGTACCATATACTGAGTGGCTTAAAACAACAGAAATTTATTGTCTCATAGTTCTGGAGGCTACAAGTCTGAAATCAAAGTGTCACCAGGGCCATGCTCCCTCTGAAATCTGCAGGGAAATCTTTCTTTGCTTCTCCCTAACTTCTGGTGATTCGCCGGCAATCCTTGGCTTGCAGCTACATAACTCCAAAGCTACATAACTCCAATGTCGGCCTTTGTCCTCACATGGTGTTCCTTCTCCCCTGTGTCTCTGTGTCTTCATGTGGTCATCCTCTTATATCCAATCATATTGGATTAGAGGCCCGCCCACCAAATTCCAGTATGACTTCATCTTAACTTAAATAATTATATCTGTATCAATTCTATTACCAAATAAGGGCACATTCTAAGTACTGAGGGTTAGGACTTCAACATATCTTTTTTCCTGATGGGGAGGGGTTAGGGGAACAGAATTCAACCCATAACACTCACCACCTCCCTTCCTGCTATGTGTTTCTCCAGAGTCCTTAGCACTATTTAAGCAATCACGTATTTTCATATGTATCTTGTTTGTTTGTCTCCTCTACCAGAAGGTAGACAGCATCATGGTCCCGATCTGGGACCATTATGTTCACTACTATAGAGAATAGTGCCTGACACCTTGGTAAAATCTCAACAAATATTTGTTAAATGAATGATCATCTGCTTTCAATTACTACATTGAGCTGACCATGTAACATGATGTGGACCAAAATTATTAGATTAAAAAAGGAAACAATTACCTCTAAATGAGATCCTAGGGAATGAATTGGTGTTTATGATATTTTTATTTCAAAGAAGTGTACATGAAGGAAACCCAGAGGTAGAGGTCAGAGCAGTGAGGAACCAGCCAGTTGGGGGATTAGTGCATTGTCATTGAGTGATTTATGGGCAGCAAGGTCTCAATAGCCTCCCTGTCACTTGTCCACTTTGGGGTTATCCCTGCAAGTAAGGTGGGTCATGGGGCTTTCACTTCACCCTAGCATCTAACATGTGCCAGAAACTGTGCTTGGTGCTTTATTCTTATTTAGGAAAAAAAAATCTTCTTCATAAATGTATCCTTCAAATATTATTATACCCGTTTGATAGAGATGGAAAGTGAGTCTCAGCGAAATTGAGCAGCGACATAGGACATAGCCGTAGTAAACACATTACTAGGATTCAAACTCAGGCCAGTGGGACCAAAAAAACCCATGTTCCTTTGCTTGTCAGATTCCTTCAGATTCTGTGGACACCAGAGTTTCAAGGGAAAGTGAGTAAACTGGCCCACACATGATGCTTCATACAAATGACTTGGCATAGACCATCAGAAAACCAGAGAAAGACTCTTCCCACCAGACACATGGGTCAGCCTTATCTCTTTGCAAAATGGAAAGCCCCAGTGCCAGGACTTTGCAGTTCTTGAAGAGGGTCAAATGATGCGGCTGAAACAACCCTGGACTAGGAATCAGAAATGAATAATTAAGGCACGGTTCTGCCCCTTTTCTTGTGTGATCGTGTATGAACCACTTATACCCTTTTGAGCCACAGTCTCCCATGTGCAGACTAATGACAATGCATACAAAAATCACATATGTACTTCCATTCTGCCCTTTTAACAATACCTGTGTGGCAATGCTCAGTATTCACGGTGAATATTCCTAATGAAATTGAACCTAGAGCCATCTGGATCACTTCTGAAATAATCATCTGAATTCCTTGTCCTTGGTGTAGGTGTGCTGGGAATACCTGCCTGCTTAGACCTTCTGTAAAAGCTCTGTGCATCCTGCCACTGAGGACTCCGAAGAGGCAGCAGTCTTCTGAAAGGTAGGGTTTACTTAATTTTGATTTTTTTTTCAAAGAGTTGAAATAATTGACCTGCTATGAGTACTCTTATAATAGTAGTCATGTTCCTATGTACATGTAAAATAGAACTTTTAAAATGGTAAAATTTCAGGGCTAGATTCCCTTGGAGAATTTACCCTCTTTCGACTTCTATTTGTAGCTGCCATTTTAAAAATTGGGGTATAAATATTATGTCAGTTAAATAAAAGAATGATGACTTCACTTTCTGAAGAAAGCATTCCCCTTCTTTTCCATGAAATGTAACTTACCTGTTACCTGATTGACATGCCATTATATTATCCTTTCCCCAGCAGTTACACATATTTAATAATTTTTATGTGTAAAAAGTAAGGTTAAACAGTTACAAAGTCAAGTTGTTATGTTTTGCATGGCTTTAAGAATGCTAGTGGAATGGAAATGAAATTAGGAGCAGCAGGAGGAGGCTCTGTTATGAAACAGAATTCCTTCCACGGCATGGCACCGTTCGTGGTCAGAGGAAGTCCTAGTGGCATATACTGGGATGGACAGTGAAGGGTAGGTCTTACAAAGAGGCTTTAAGTTAGAGTAAAATAATCACTTGTCTGTATGTATCTTTGAACGATTTCACTGGATATGTTGAATATGTATTTTTAAAAATAGCAGCAAAGGGCCTATAATCCCAGCAATTTGGGAGGCCGAGATGGTGGATCACTTGAGGGCAGGAGTTTGAGACCAGCCTGGCCAACATGGTGAAACCCCGTCTCTACCAAAAATACAAAAATTAGCCAGAAGCAGTGGTGGGTGCCTGTAATCCCAGCTGCTCAGGAGGCTGAGGCAGGAAAATTGCTTGAACCCGGGAGGTGGAGGTTGCAGTGAGCCAAGATCGTGCCATTGCAGTCCAGCCTGGGTGACAGAGTGAGACACTGCCACAAAAAAACCCAAAATAATAATAATAGCAATAAAGTAGGAGCAATGCACTAACCTGGTAATCTCTAGCATGTCGTCAGGGGACCGTGCTCATGTAACCCCTCCCTAGGACTCATATTTACTCCTTTCCTTTTCTGTCACTTCATCTCATCTTTACACCTTTAACAATATCTCTCATTCCCAGGTCTCAGACAATTTAACATGTATAATAATATGTATATTGAATAATCCTATGTGCCAGAACACAAAGATACTATGCTCCTTTTTCTGCTTCCAGTTGAGACCCAGTTTCCTGTATCCACTTTACAATGTCAACCAGCTTATCCTTCGTGCCGCCTTCCCTTTCCCTCTCATTCCACAGTCACTTGAAACCCATGGTTTATGCAAAATTTGCAAAGTTAGGCAGGATTGCTCCTAGAGTTGTAGAACTGTGAGACATTGCTGCATCTTGTCATGGGATGAGGCAGGCATCTTTAGATAGTTTACCTGGAAAACAAAGAAAATTTAAAGGCAGTAAATGAAATAAGGCAAAATGGAGCACTGGTGTTATGTGCTTTTTCATACGAGCCTTTGCATATAATTATGTGATCCTTTTTGTTATTGTTTGGGTTAGTGTTTTAAGCTCTGAAGGAAGGCTTTTTTTTTTTTTTTTTAGACGGAGGCTCCCTCTGTCTGTTACCCAGGCTGGAGTACAGTGGTGCGATCTCAGCTTACAGAAACCTCTATCTCCTGGGTTTAAACAATTCTCACGCCTCAGCTTCCCAAGTAGCTGGGATTACAGGCACAAGCCACCACACCCAGCTAATTTTTGTATATTTAGTAGAGATAGGGTTTCACCATGTTGGCCAGCCTGGTCTTGAACTACTGACCTCAAGTGATCCACCCATCTCAGCCTCCCAAAGTGCAGGGATTACAGGAATGAGCCATTGCGCCCATCCAGAAGGCTCTTTTTAAACATAAAAGCTGTCAATATAAAATATATTGTTTCTGGAAGGGTGGCATTTTAATATTAATAATTACTGATAAAAAAAAAAAACTGGCAGGGCACGGTGGCTCACTCCTGTAATCCCAGCACTTTGGGAGGCTGAGGCGGGCAGATCACGAGGTCAGGAGATCAAGACCATCCTGGCTAACACAGTGAAACCCCGTCTCTACTAAAAAAATACAAAAAAGTAGCCAGGTGTGGTGGCAGGTGCCTGTAATCCCAGCTACTCGGGAGGCTGAGGCAGGAGAATGGCATGAACCCAGGAGGCAGAGTTTGCAATGAGCCAAGATCGCGCCACTGCACTCCAGCCTGGGCAAAAGAGCAAGACTCCATCTCAAAAAAAAAAAAAGAACTATAGACTATTTAAGTTTTAGAAACCCTACTTACTCCTAGAAAGACGTATATTTTGTCTCCTAATAGTGAAGGATATGTGCCCGATGTCTCCAAAACCCCTTTGCTATTTCTTGTCTTTACACAGACAGACTCAGAGTTCTACTGTTTGCTGTGTGCTCTTAGTGAACTCAACCTCTCGGAACTCTGGTTTCTTCCTCCATAAAATGAAGCTAGTTATTCTAGGGAACTGCTGCAAAGAATAGTTGTGAAGGATTAACTGACGATTTATGTAAAGTGGTTAGCAAGGTGGCTGGTATACAAATCTTTCAAGAAATGGAAGCCATAATGATTGTGATTAGAAGGAATTATGCAATTACCAACTCTGGATTGGCATTTTAGGATTTTCAGTATTGTATTTCTCTTGGGATATTATCTATTGCAGTTTTCAATGAGTCAGGATTTAGAGATATCTGAGACCAAAGAAATAAGGTAAAATAACGTGGCCAAGTACCATGTAGATTATCACTGATAGTCATGATTCTGTATAAGTCTCATTGCTTTGAGATTAAATGCCACCAGTCTAAGAGCTAGAATTGATTGATGTTCTACCATTCTATCATTCAACTTTATGCTGTGTTTTCATTCCAAGCCTTCTCATGTACTTGGCAAGATGATCAAGGAAGCCCTGACCCTGGCTTCTATTTCTACTTAAAACTAAACTCAAATGTCACTAAATGAGGGAATGGATGGAGGTTAAGTATTTTGAGGCGAGGTGTTAGGAAATGCAAAGCAATGTTTCCTAAATGTTTTTACTTGTTTCCATTTCCAGTATGGCTAAGTAAGTTCTACTGGACCTGCAATTCTCACAGATATCAACTATAAAGTACCAAAAGACCAAAAAAAAAAAAAAAGAAAAAAGAAAAAAGAAAAAAAGAAATTACTAGAGAATAAAAATAAGCAGAAAGATTCTGGAAGGGAGCTGAAATTCAAAACTTGGAAGCACAGATCTGTCCAGAGTGAGTTTCCCATTTTACAACTTTTAGACTGAAAGCAGGCTAAAATTAATGTCACTTCAGATGACCAGCCTCCAATAGAAAACTCACAGTGTTTTTGGTTTGAAGACCCAAAGAACAAGGTTCAGGGCAATCATAGCCACAGGAAAATGAATTTAGAATCTTGGAAAGAGGAGAGGCAGAGAGGGGAAGCTCCCAAATCTGTATATAAACACTACCCACATTTCTGGCTGACTCTTGGATTTATTAATGTGAGACAAACTAAACTTTCAGACAAAAAGAGTTACCAGAGATAAAGCAGAATATTTCATAATAGTAAGTCATATTAAGAAGGTGTAAGAATTGTAGATGAATATGCTCTTGATAAAATTCCAAGTGAGGTCACGTCATGTAATTTTGAGGTATATGTCATGTGTATATTCTTGGATGGAGCAGACACAAATTATCACAAAGTTAAAAGAACTGAACTGAAGTTTGAGCTGCCACCCAAAAGATAGTTTGAAATTTGAGTATAACTAATTGCCTGCTAAAACAAATAAATCAATACCCTTCAGAAAACTGTAACAGGATTCAAACTCTTCATACCATAACATACATACTTGCAAATCATACAAGCCCAAATTACATGATCTATGAAAACCCAATAAAATTGACTCATTCTGAAGACAAAAGGCAATTATCTGAGACCAATTCCAAGATGAGCCAGATGTGGGAATTAACAAAGATTTTAAAGTGGCTATTATAACCATGCTCCACAAATAATAGGAAAATAAACTCACAATGAATAAGAAGGTAGTAAACAGAAACTGCAAAAAGAACCAAATAGAAATTCTGAAAACTGAAAATACAATATTCAAAATAAAAACTCATTGAGTATACTTACAGCAACTGGAGGTAAAAAAGGAAAGTGTCAGTGAACTTAAAGAGATCCATAGAAATTTTCTTTTGGAAGAACTGAAAGAAAAAAAGACTTAAAACAACTGAATAGAAAAAATAAACAGAGACTCAGGGACCTGTGTAACAGAAATTAAAATGCCTAGTTTACATGTAATTGGAGTCTCAGAAGGAGAAGAGAAAGAGAATGAAACAGAAAAAATATTTGAAGAAATAATGGGCCCAAATTTTCAAATTTGGTGAAATACATAAATGCATAGAGCAAGAAATGCAGTGAACCCCAAATGGGATACATTTAAAGAAAACTGTGCATAGGTACGTCGTATTCCAACTGGTGAGCACCAACAATAAAGAGAGAATCTTGATAGTAGCCAGAGAAAAATGGCACAGTATCTTTGGTGGAACAATGCTTTAAATGAACACTGCCGTCTCGTCAGAATTTATAAAGGCCAGAAAAAGTGAAATGATATTTTTAAAGTACAAATGAGGGGGGGAAAAAAGCAAAAAACTGTTAATCCAGAATTCTACATGTAGTGAAAATACCCTTTGTGAGTAAAGGCAAATTAAGGACATTTTCAGATAAAAGGAAACTAAGAGCATTTATTGTCAGCGGACCTGCACCACAGAAATGCTAAAGGAAAGATTATTCAGGCTAAAGTGAGATAACACCAGATGGAATCTTAAGTCTTCAAGAAGGAATAAAAAAAATTGGAAATTGTAAATATAATTTTTCATGATAAGATCTTTAACATACACAGGACCTGTTAAAGCAAAAATTATAACATTGTCTTGTGGTGTTTGTGATGTCATATGTATAGATGTAATTCATATGACTTTATAGCATAAAGAAT